GCGCGACAGGCGTGCCACCCCCAGGTCGCGTTTCACTCGTCTATCTGGCTGCCGGCGAGCGCCCTGCAAACTCGAAGTCTGGCGCGGGCAGCTCCGCGTCAACGTCGATGCGCACACCCATGAAATCGACGCATATAGGCATCCGAGCAAGCTCGAGCCTGCAGCGGCGCACGCTGCGCGGCGAGGTGGATGATCGGCCAACCCATTGATTTAGGATACCCTCTGGAGATTCTGGCGACGCCCAGGACGAAGTACACCAGCGAGCCGTGCCCCACGGTCCGCTCCGAGGCGCTCATCCGTCAATTGACGCACTGCGTCACGCACTGCAAGTCCAAGTGCACATAGAAAGCGCTCCTCACTGCCAGATGCAGGGTGAGGTCCGCGCTTAAGCCTTCCAATGGGCCTCCAGATGTACCGGGTACCATCAGCGCGCCCTGCATGTTGAAGACGCTGTTCCAGGTCCAACTGGTAGATGTGGCCCAGGTCGCTCTCGACGTTGGTGAGGCAGCGCGGAGTACTAGGCGTCTAGCCTGTGCTGCGCCTGGGCGCCCAAAGCGGAGATGCCGTGGTGCGCGCCGTTCCCGACTGCGCCCAAATAGTTGAGCTCCGCGGGTGGCCAACTGAATGGATCACATCCTTGAGCAGAGAGACCCTCGGAAAGGCCTTCGGCGCACGCATAGTCAGCTGCTGCCCTCTCCTTGGCTAGGCTGCAACATCAAAACGCACATGCTTGTGATGTCTGACCAGGCCGCCGGGCCAGCCGCAGCTCATGTGGATGAGAACGGACAAAGCGGGCACGACCTCAAAGGTGACCTCTCCCTTCGGGTCGGGCAGCAGCGTAGTCTGGATGCGCGAGCGCACGAAGATGGCCACGCCAGCGCTCGAGAAGCCAGTAGCCAGCCTCCTGCACGGTGCGATGCAAGGAACCCGGCCATGCGCGATCGCCCAGCGTCGTGCACGTTGGAAAAGTTATCCGTCGAGTCGGAGCTACTGCGCGTCCACGACCATGGCGCCCTCTGCACCCTCGTCCACAAACTGTTGGAGCGAAGTCAATCAAGACCCTTTGAACGTGACAGCGCTACAGCGACAGCACCGAGCAATAAGGAGATGGTGAAGCAGCAGAAAGGAAGCACGAGGATAACGGGGATCAACATACGGCCGTTGGGAATGAAGTGGAACAGCGGGGCCGTTGTCGAAGGCAGGCGGGGTTGCCACACCTGTAGACGATTATGACTCAAAATGGGGTGCCACACATTGCGGCTGCGTTTGAAAGAAAGCTCTGATTCAATGGTTGAAGAATGTCTCAAGCGATATGGTCGGTCGAAGCTTAAGAAGGCGACTGTGCATACGTCGGGCATCAACGTGGGGATGTCTCAAGCGAAACCGTCATGGGTATGATAAATGTGTCTTGAATCCTTGGAGCCCATAGTGTGTTTGACAGGTTTGTGCTAGTGATTGAAATCGCATGTGCCTGGGGGGCCTGCGAGCAGAACCGAATGTCAAACGCTTGAGGAGCTCTCGGGCGAAACGGCCAGCACCAATTGCGCACGGTAAATATGATTCGCCCCTGACATCGAATTGAAGAGATGCGCATGAAATATGTACCTGTACAACTACATACATACATATATACATGCCTCGCAGTTCTCATTTTCCTGCCAGGCATTCAGGCATTTCAAGGCGGCGCTGGGCAAGTGAGCGGGAGACCGCCAGAGAGCCGAGGCGACAGACCTGGAAACACTCTGAAGTGACATTCCAAGAATGTTAGATTTGAGGTGGAGGAGAAGGGGGCGGATGGCGGGCCGAGAGAAAAACTTGAGCCCACATGAGCACAGAGTGCAGAGTGACGGCATTCAACGATCTGCTCAACATGCCCCTGAAAGCATGTCTCATGCTTCGCAGCTCTCATTTTCCTGCCACGCGATCAAGTCTTTCAGGGCGGCGCTGGGCAAGCGAGCGGGAGACCGTGAGAGAGCCGAGGCGACGGGCCTGGAAACACTCCCGCACCCACTTCCAAGAAATGTTTTGGGCGCAAGCACGATTGACCTGGAGGCAGGAGGCCGCGCCCCCCCTTCAAACAACGGATTTTGAGAGCATCTCGAAAAGCAGTGGCTATTTGCTCACGCAGATCCTCCAGATATTGTTGGGGGGCCGCTGGTGCGCCACTGACCAGACGAGTTCTTGCCACGCAGCTGCGCGCGGGGTCTACCCGTGAAGCCGCGCGCGCCTTTATGTCCCGAGCACCTGCGAGAGTACTGGGCAAGCTCAAGGAAGTGCCATGCTAAGAGACCAGTGGATTCCCCCCAGCGGGCCCCAAAACCACACTGGTCAAAAACGAAGAATTCTGCAGAGAAAACTTTCCACGAGCGAGTTATTTTGGGGTGAAGCCATAGCCTGGACAGGCGAGGATTCTCAATGACGACTGGAATTCGCAGAGGCAGCAAAGTCTCGAGAAAAATACAGAGCGAATCAACCAGTCTGTTACCAAGCTCAACGTCTCTTTTATCAGCAGCGGACAGACTGGGAAAACCCAGCAAATTAACATTGTCATCACGGATCCTCGGACGGGGCGGCAGGTCACAAACTCTGGACCACGTCTCACATGCTACGGCGATCCACACTCCGAGGCAACGCACCGCCAGGCCCTGCCTCCAGCCTGCCGCAGCTAGCTGGCGCTGATGCTGCATCATGTTGCACTGCGCCACGCGCCTGGCTAGCCACCTCATCTTGTCCGAGCTCGCAAGGTCGGCCTCTTGGCTGAAGATGGTGTCCCACGCGGAGCCTTCGATGCCTTGGCGCGCGAGCGCTCGGCTGGCGCCCGCGCACCCGGCGCGCAGGTCGAGGGCGCAGCGCGGCGGGGGGGCGACCTGGCGGCGGGCAGGGACAGAGAGCTCACCCGATCTTGGATCCAGGCGACTGCCTGGCGGGCGAGGCCCTGCTGCACCTCCGAGAAGCGCGCCCACTCCTGCTGAACCCTTGCGCTCGCCTCGTAGCGCCTCATCGTGCCCTCGGCCAGCCATCTGCCCCGACGCTGGATCTCCGGCAGCGAGAACCCACGAGGCGGTCGTGGGAGGGGCTGCCGTGCCAGAGCTGACACTGCACGTGCTCGGCGTCGGCCGGGAAACCCAGCGGGCGCATCGCTGCCTTCCAGCGCGCCAGGAGGGCCGACGGCTCGATGTCGAACAGCTTCTTCGCAGGGTCGCCCGTCTTGGGCGACGCCACCGCGGCGCCCTGGCCTGGCAGGCACTTCGCGTCCAGCAAGATGCTCTCGTCGCAGAGGCCGATCTTCGACACGTCGCCGCGCTCGGCCGGGTGGAGGTTCAACGCCCACCACCGACTGCTCGCGCGCGGCGGCGCCAGGTCCTCCTCCTTCAGGGAGCGCAGGTCGATCGGCCTCAAGTACGCTGTGAACATCGCGAGGACGGCCAGGCAGGCGACGACCGAGTGCAGATTCTCGGCCAAGTGCCTGGCGATCCAGCGCGCGATCTCCCACGGGATGGGCGCCAGAGCGACGCCTGGGTCGAGGTTGGTGTAGCCCTTCAGCGCCCTCTGGAACCGCGGCAGCCCCAGCTTTCCCCATGGTGACAAATCCGCAAGATGCCAAGCCGCCGCGGCGCACGCCTTGAGCAGGTCGGCCTTCTCGAAACCCTCTAGAAACAAATAATCCGCGAAGTCCGCCACGGCAGCGTCGACACTCTTCACGGTGCCCAGGGTGGGCCCGATCGAGATCGCAAAAGCCTGGGGGGGAGGGGGGCCCTCCGTCGTGCTCGTAATGGCATGCGACTCCAGAATGGAAACCTCGCCTGCTGCTACCCGAGGCTCGAAGGTGCCGAAGGTCACGGCCCTCCGACTGGCTGCCGCCACCAAGCGCCGAGCTCCCCTCCGTGGCAAGCGGGCCCCCAGCAGCGGCGGCGGCGCTCCCGCCGCCTCGCGATGCAGTCGCGAGGCGACCCCTGACGAGTGCGCGGCCACAGTCAGTCGTCCGCGCTGCGCCTCTTGACGAGGGCGGCGGCTTCGGGGGCCCGCGCCTGAGGCGGCGGTGGAGCGGCCTCCCGCTTGCTGGCGGGGTGGCCCTGCCCAGCTCGCGGGTCTCCTTCTCATCGCCGTGAGAGGTCATCAGCGGTGTTCTTCTCAGAAGGTACCCAACGAACATGCCACTTGGCACAGCTAGCTAAAGCCAGAGCCGAGGCACGACGAATGAGGTTGAGGATGGAGAAGGACACAGCCCGCGACTTCCCAAAGGCCATGGTGGTGCCCAGCTGGTCCCCCAGGATCTGGTGGTGCCTCTTGAACCCCTTGATGGACCTGAGCCCGTGCCTGATGCCCAAGACAGTAGCCCTCGCCTCCAGAGTGGGCATCCCCTCGACGCCCCTGAACCTGGCAGAGATACCCCCCTCCAGATCCCCTCCTTGAGCATGCCATCTGGGACCACCTGGAAGCACGGGTTCTTCTCGAGCATCTCCAAGGAGCCTCCTGAACCTTCTGGGGCCACTGAGCTGGGACCCGAGAAGACGCCCAGTTTCCCGAGTGCGCTGCGACGAGGATGCGACAGCGGATGCCTGCCACGATAACGCCAGCGCTCAGAGACGCGACCCACGGCCGCAACGCTGGAAGACCCAAAACTGCGGACGCCACGCCTTCACCCGTCTCTCAGGCGTCCGTCATAATAGCTTGTGGATGCCAACTCATCGTCAGGTCGGCGGCGCAGACGCCGACGAGGCCTCTCACCCAGCGGGCCTCCCTGCGCAGCGACGGCCACGCCCGCTGCCTGCGCGGGCCGACCTTGCCAATGAAGTCGTAGGCGGACCTGCGGACGGCGAACCCCCTCCTGCGAATCAGGAAGAAGTCGGCGACGCGGCCCGCCCACCCCTGAACTGCATGGCCCGATAGACGGGCCCCACTCCCAATGACACTGCAAACCTTCGCGAGCCGCTCCGCCCGCCCAGGCTCGTCGCAGACGATCCACTGTCGCCGCCGATGCACCTGCCGAGGGGGGCGACCTTCACCGAGGCGTCGACCTCCTCGCGGACGGGGGGGCCTCTCGCCCTCAGGTGGGAGCCCGCCATGTCTTCGGCCAGCTGCACGGCGCCCTTGCCCAGGCCAAAGACCACGAGGTCGTCGCAGTCCGGCAGCGCGCCCAGCTCCGAAGCTACGTCGGGAATCGGCCCGACGTCTCTTAGCAGGGCGTACTGGGCGAAGACCCTCAGCGCCTCGCCGATGAGGTCCCCCAAGATCTTCTGGCCAGAATAGAACGCCCAGCTCCGCCCCATAGGAGCAGGCCGGTCAGGCTCGCGATCGCTCAACCCTTCGAGGCCGCCCATGAAGATCCGCGCCTCGCCGCGCGAGATCGGCGGCAAGCATGAGAAGGGCTGGCGGTCCGGATGATTCTGGATGGTGCGAAGTAGTTCTTCACGTCTGCTGCGGCTGTAAAAAGTGGGCCCGCTCCTTCGGGCCTCTCCAACCTGGACCACGCACCCCCTGCCCACATGTCGAGATGCGGGGGGGGGGGGGGGGGGGGCGAAAGTGGGGGTTGCTGACGCGGCAGCCCATCACCACGCGGAGGTCGCCACTCTTCTTGGCCACGAAAAAAGGCGTGCAACTCTCGCGAGGTCGGCGCGTCCAAGAGATGAGTGACGCGCTGTACAAGTCCTCAAGGAAAATCAAATACAGAGGCCTATACGAGCGCAAGACCTCGTCCATGTAGGGCGTTGATCAGACTCATCTTCTCAGACCTCCAACCCACATCGTCGGAATCCGCCAGCATCGTCTCTACGGGCCGCCTCATCAACTCCCTCTCCAGCTCACCAGCCAGCGAGGTCAGTGGAGCAGAGCTCTCCCCAACCGCTGGCATCGACACCAGAGAGCGCTTGCACGGCCTCGCTGCGGCGCCCTGGTCGACCCCGGCGTAGTCGACCACGCTAGCCAGGAGCTCATCAGCGGCTCCGCGGCGACTGCACGCGTTGGCGGGCGATGGCAGGGCGGAGGACAGCTCCAGTAAAGCCTCCTGCGAGGTGAGCTGCGCTAGCGACGGCCGAAGGGTCTCTGATCCCTCCCCCGCGCAGCTCATCTCATTCAAAACCGCGAGCGCCGCATTGACCCTCTCCTCGACCCCACGGCGACGTGCCAGCCTCCTCCGCGCGCAGTGCGAAGCCCCAGGGGTCGTGGGGGAGCGGCCGGGACAGGAGGCACAGGAAGCAGCTCTTAGCGAGGGACTCGATGGTGCTCGGACGCCGTTACCCCTAGCAGCCCAGACATTGCTGCCCGAGGGTGGCCCTCATCTCGTGAAGACTTCCACGCAGTGGCCACTGAGGGGGCACGGGCTGGCCAGCTCCCGCGCCCCCGCCCCATCAAGGGCGCTCCTTGTCGTTCTCGCCGTCCTTCTTGCCGCCGCCAGGCTGCCGGCGCAGCCGGTGCTCCTCCTTGGCCTTCCTCGCCCCCTTGGCGACCTGCGCCTCGCCGCGGAGGTTGTCGGCCACGTGCTGGCGCAGCTGCGGGTCGATGACCACTCCCATCCTCCGTGACGACCAGCCCATGTAGTGGTCGGCCGCGCTGTAGTCCGCTGCGCCTCCCGCGCCAGCATGACTATGCGCATCCTCGATGAGCTGGAGCCTCCTCGCAACCAGCTCGCCTGACTTCAAACTGGGCACGTTGAGCTGGTCGACGCACGCCATCGCCTTCAAGATGTGGGAGAGCGCCTCGTGCTCATACTGAGACCTATCCTGGCGGATCTTGGCGGCCACCTTGCCGTGCTCAGACTGCGTGACGGGCGTCTGAGACAGGGAGGCGGTGTTCTGAAGCCGATACCAGCACGTGCGAGGGCCCGTGGCAGCCGACGGCGTCGGGGAACGTCCTCCTGCGGCGGCCCGTGCCATCGAAACGGACTGGGAGGACTCTCTGATCATCGTTCACGTAGTCGTCGAGATCCTTCCGATCGATCTGCCTCAGCATCGCGGTGTCGCCGCCCTCCAGCGGCATCAGAGCCTTGTCTCCGATGACATGTGCCTCCCGCGTGAGCTCTTCCTCGATTTCTCCTCGGCGGAGGGAGGCAACGTCCTCGGCGACGACCCACACCCGCCCCGGAGGAGCCCTCCGCTGAACGGGCCCAGCCTGCTGCGCTGGCGCCCTGGCGAGGCCTCCGACTTGGTCCCCCGGGGCGGCGGCCACCCTCACGGGAGGGCGGTCCTGCGCGATGCCGCCGAGCATGATCTGGCTGCCGCGGACGAGCGCCCTCACCGCGGCAGCGGTCAGCCTCCTCGCGAACCTGTAGCACCGATCGTTCCGAATCCCAAGACGAGAAGCCCCCTGAGCGCCGAGCCAATGGACAGAATAGATATCGTCCCCAACGGCCAAATCGATCTCATAGTGGTCGCCGTCAAGCGTATAGATGGTCACCACGCTCGGCACCCCTTGCTTCACTCCAGTGATGAGGGTTTCGTGAAAGATCGGCTCGTCATCTCCCTCCAAGTTGTACCTTATCAGTATGTAATCTCAAACTTTCGCCATCTTCCCTTACAGTGTGCGCAAGACTGCCCGATTCCGAATCGCTCTGCGCTGGCGGAGCGCCTCGGTCCTCAGCACTGTGGCGTCGGTGTCGTCGTCGACGGCAGGGTGCGCGGCCTGCTCGGGCTGCCCCTCGGGCGCCTCGCGCTCGCGAGGCCGGCGCCGCGAGCAACCCGCAGCCGCCGTCAGCACCAGGTTGCACGCACTGAGGGCCCAGCCGATGTAGTCGGGCTGGTCGAGGTCGCCCGGGATCTCCGGGCACGCCTGGCACTGCAGTGCCGGGCAAGGGGCACACGGCGGCGCCTCTGGGCAAACAAGATCAGGGCACGGCGGGTATGGGACCACTGGGCAGCTACCCTCGTCGGGATGCACGCCCCCAGGGCCACTGACCGCCGCCCCCACGGCGTGCGCAGCCCGCTGGACCTCGGCGCCGAAGAGCACCGAGAGGAAGCTGGACTGTGCCGAGTGCCACAGCAGCGAGGCCAGCCCAGGCGCCGACGCGGCGGCCAGGGCCAGCGGACCGCGGTAGACACGCAGGGCCATCAAACGTTTTTCCCGAGAGAAAAACTTGAGCCCATACGAGTACAGAGTGCAGAGTGGCGGCATTCAAAGATCTGCTCAGCATACCACATGCATGCATGTTTCATACAGGCATACATAAAACAAATACATATGTATACGTATACAGATATGCATGTGTGTACACACTGAAAGTCGGATGCGTAAAAGTAATGACATATGTGAACATGTAGACCTTACAAATATTACTGTAGCCATGTATAAATGTCTCTGTATGTACTAACCTCTCCTGCCCTGTATGTTATATCGTACTGTCTGTTCACGCGTCCCTGTGCCATTACATAACCCATGTACACGTAAAGGGTTGTGTGCACGTGTGTTGCTACGTGTTGTCAAAGTCGGTGCCTGTGGTTGTCCGTGTTTGACTGTCCCTGACAATGCACACGCATGAATCGAAGTCTCTGTCCCTTCCTCTGCCTCTGTCTCCCGTCTGCCCCCGAATGTGTGCAAGCACACGTGTAAGTGTTTTAAAGTGTGTGTGTGTGTGTATGTGTGTATGCAAGTGTGTGTGTGTGTGCGTGTGTGTGCGTGAGTGTGCGTGTGTGTGTGTGTGTGCGTGTGCATGCGTGCGTGTGTGCGTGCGTGCGTGCGTGTTTGTATGTGTGTTAATGTTTGTGTGTGTGTGTGTGTTTGTGCATGTGCTCGTGTGTGAGTGTGTAAGTGTGTGTTTGAGTTTGTGTCTGTGTTTGTGCTTGTGGCTGTGCTTGTGTTTGTATGTGTGTTGTGTGTAGTTGTGTTTGTGCTTGTGTTTGTGGTTGTGGTTGCGGTTGTGATTGTCTGTGTTTGTGTGTGGTTGCGTTGTGTTTGTGTTTGTGCTTGTGCTAGTGTTTGTGTTCGTGTTTGTGTTTATGTTTGACTTTGTGCTTGACAATGTGTTGTGATTGTGTTTGTGTTTGTGTGTGTTTGTGCCTGTGTGTGTTTGCGTTCGTGTGAGGTTTGTCTCTGCCTCAGCATCTGTCTGCCAGCCTGTCTGCGTTTGCGCCTGCTTCTGCGATTGCGCCTGCGCCTGCCTGTCAGTCTATTAATTGAGGCACTGGTTCTAAATAAAGGTCGGCCTAAACCTGGCAACCTCGTCGGCAGACATGCTGTTCCCGATCAGCTCGCGCTGCTGCGAGACGATCCAAGGCACCTGACCCGTATCTGCCCCGTCCCTTTCCAATTGCTCTTTCGTCACGATGAGCTGCCGGCGAGTGTGTATGTACCACCCGGCTATATTCAAGCGCTTGCCGCTACCCCCTCATTATATAGTTCGTCCGTCCTCTACGTCTTATGTAGCTCGCTTGCGAGATTCGGCCCTGGCCATACTGTTCAAAGGATCGCCATGCGTTCTTGAAAAGCACAACGCGCGCGTGCGGGCCGGAATTCGATCTTAAATCAACAACAAACGCACGCACACGCAATGCAACGCGTTCGAAGCAAACCAGCGACAGTAACTGAAACAACTGAGGCTTACAGGGGCACTCCCCATCCACCCGTCCACCTGGTTTTGGAGCAGGGGTACACATCCACTCAGCGCACGGAGCGCTCGAACTTGCAGTCGTCCCCCTACGCCTAATGCTCCGCCTCCCGTACCTTCACTCCTCCTCCTCCTCCTCCTCCTCCTCCTGCTCCTCCTCTTCCTCCTCCTCCTCCTCCTCCTCCTCCTCGTGGGATTGAGTAACCAAGAACTTCTCCACGCCCGTCGTGTGCTCCTGTCTTACAAACCCCCCGACATAACGGGTGCTCCCTCCAGGCCAAACTCGCTACCCTTGGGGACCCTATGTGGCGGGGAGCTGTGGCCCCTGTGATTCATTGGGCGGGGATGGTCTGGATGGCGCTCACCTGCCCTAGAGTTTCTATGTATAGTGTCAAGAAGCTGTGCGCCATATGGCATACCATCCCGTTCGATGATCAGGTCACTTGGCGCAATTCCAGGGGCCCCATCCAGCGCATGCACCTCAGCCTCCATAGGTTAGGATGGGTTTCCACGTCGGCGCTGACCTTTCGTGACGACAGGGGCAAGGAGATCAATATAGGGTACACCTCACCCTCCATGCTTTCCCATTTGCTGGACCTTGCCACCCAGCGGGCTCATGAGCGGGCCTTAGCGGCGAGCACTCCTGGGTTTGACGGGGCCCGTGTGTGTGGACCCCCTCAAGAAGTCCTTCGGATCCCAAGCGAAAGGTCTCAGCCCGCGAGAGAAATATCTTGCTCTCACTTGCTTTTGGAGAGGCGTGTGGACACGCACCCGAGCCCGCTCGTGCGGGTATCAGGCGAATGGATTGTGCCCTCTCTGTGGGCAACCAGATGGCGTAAGCCATCGCCTGTGGCAGTGCACGCACCCTGCCGCCGCCCAAGCCCCAGCCGACGCTCTTGAGAAGGTGCCTGTGGAGTGGCACGCCGAGGCCCTTGAAAGCGGCAACATGTTGTTCTTCGATAAGATGAAATTGTGCCATCCCGAAACCACCCTCCCCTCCCCTGCCACGGACCCTAAGCCAACACTGTATGATGCCGCTGGTGTTGTCGTGACTTGGGGTTCGATTGATCTGCGGGGGCTCGACGTTTGCGTTGACGGCTCGGCGGTTCGCCATACTATCCGTGAGTTGTATCGGACCTCCTACCCGTGGATTTCCCTGGGACCTGGAGTGGATGAGGTGGTTGCTACTGCTCGAGGCACGGTGCTAGACACCTTGCCGCAAACGTCTTAGGCCGCCGAGCATCAGGCCATGGCGCTGATCCCAATTTTTCAGACGTTCGGGGGGCGCAGGTACGGGGACAGTATGACGGTCATCAAGCTCTGTCGCGCAGACCCTGCGCACCAAGTTTCAAGCAAGCATCGCTATGCTGGCCTTCGGCGTGGATCGCTGATGCACGAGGCGGTGGGACATGCTGCTCCTGTCATACACACACCTGCCCATCGTGAACGGAGTGTCATCGATGTCCCTCCCGACGAGGAACGCCGT